TAAAACTTATAGATAACTTTAACCACAACAATTTAAGATTCCTGCTCAAGGAAACATGACACCTCGACATGCGATGCCAGAATTCCAAGTCCGCCGTTTCAGTCTAGAAGTATCGGCTTCGATTCCTTTCTCTACCAATGTATTTACTCAAACAATGTTGTATTTATAATCATTATCATTTACATGATAATCGACAAATATTAAATTGCACGGATTGAGTATGAAGCTTGAATTTTTTGTTAGAAACTCTCCGTAAGCACTATCTCATGTATGTATGAAATGGTAACAATTATATATGCATATTTGTGTTAAATATATATAACATTTTCACTATAAACTTGCTTCTTTACATGCATAATTAAATAAGTCAGCAATTTGCACTAAGGTTGTCGGTGCGGACCCATGATACGTTACCAAGAACTTGGTCAGTTGTCACGCTTTTATGACTTTTTTAAGAAATTAAACAGCTTAAATTCGTATGCAATATATTTTGTATACATATCTTTGATGCTTACAGTTATATCAAATAAATATTTTGATTGACAACATAATTTTCTCCTTTTAAAAGTTTTCCAAATGATCATTTTCCCCAAGCACGCACTAGCTGTTTCATTAAAACAAAGAAATCGTACAAGTCTTTGATAAAAACTAGGTAAAGTCATAAGCTTCAATGATCATAATATTCCGTAGACACACATTTATGAATACACTTACTTCAAAAATGTGACTTTCAGGTCGTTTTCCATCATGCATGTTATGTTTAAGTGTTTGTTTTGTCTAAAATGATATGGTGCTGCGCGCAGGATGATAAATTATCGACGGTGCGCGGAAAAATGATGCGTATACCCTTGACACCGTGAATATTGTTAAGGTACCTTTACCAAGAACTGACAGATATGGTAAGAAATCTTTCCGGTATGCCGCTGCCAAACTTTGGAATCAACTTCCAGATAATTTTAGACAAACTTCATCTTTTAACCATTTTAGATCATTGATAAATACTTGGCAAGGGGATAACTGCTCCTGTACATCATGTAGTATCACATAATGCATGTACATCATAAAAAAAAAAAAAATTGGCAGTGAAATGCTGGATGTTTCAAGTTTTTAGATACTTTTGCTATGTATTTGTTTCATCACTGTGCTTGTTTTAATTACTTTATGTCAGTTGCTTTTATTGTGATAGATTTATTTCTATTTTTTTATGTGCTATGTATCATCTTTTATATACATCTGGGACATAAGATAACTAAGTTATCTTATGTCCCAGTATAGTTTACATGTATAACTTGAATGTTTGTGTGTATGTTAATGTCAGGGTTGATGTTCATTATGCATATTTTAACCTTGTCATTCTATTGCTTAGTCCTAACCATGCTTTATTTATTTATATATGATTTGCTCTTTTTTAGAAGTTGGTTTGTCTATGCATTTTATTGTGTATATGTATGCTTGATGTTTCTCTGCTTAAATGTTTGTGTGTTTTTATAGGCTGTGATGTGTATCTTTAGTATGTATCTTAATTATTAATGGATATTTTTTATTAGATCTTAATTTGTATTACTTCTTACTTTTGTATGCTACTGATGAATGCTAGTACAATGCTGCTTGTCTACTCTTATTTGTTAATGCAATGCTATTTGTCTTATTTATTATAACCATTTTCCTCATTTATCATATCTTAAACATGTGTATTATATTAAAGTAGTCGGTGTAAAAAGCTCATCAGAGCTAAATATGTTTATTGTTAATGTATCTGACTTAAAAATAAAATTTACTTGACTTGACTTGATGAGTACAAACCTTTATTGTAGTTTTACAGGCTCAATCTTGCCGTGTTGGGCTTTCTTTTAGGGATTCTGTTTTTTTTTTACTATTAGTTTACTGCATTATTGAAGTGTTCAGAACATGTTTGTCTATGACAGCGGTGGCAAAAATTGTTTGCTCTGCGGGAATAGGTAGGGTATGTCGGATTTTGTTCTGAAATCATGTTTAGCTTTGAACATCTAAATCTGGAGAAAATGTTCATGCCCTGTTATTTTCAGAATACAAGTGGTGGGTGGAGTATGTAAACAATTGGCCCATTTTTAGCTCGACTATTCGAAGAATATGAGAGCTATTGTAGTCGCCCCGGCGTCGGCGTCCGCGTCCGCGTCGGCGTCTGCGTTGGTTAAAGTTTTTTGTAAAGTCAAATATCTCAATTATTACTTGTGATATTCAATTGAAACTTACAATAGTTATTTATAGTAACAAGGTACATCAGATTGACAAGTTGGATAACTCTGCCTACAATATTGACAGAATTATGCCCCTTTTTAACTTAGAAATTTTGGTTAAAGTTTTTTGTAAAGTCAAATATCTCAATTATTGCTTGAGATATTCAATTGAAACTTACCATACTTATTTATAGGAACAAGGTACATCAGATTGACAAGTTGGATAACTCTGCCTACAATATTGACAGAATTATGCCCCTTTTTAACTTAGAAATTTTGGTTAAAGTTTTTTGTAAAGTCAAATATCTCAATTATTGCTTGAGATATTCAATTGAAACTTACAAAACTTATTTATAGTAACAAGGTACATCAGATTGACAAGTTGGATAACTCTGCCTACAATATTGACAGAATTATGCCCCTTTTTAACTTAGAAATTTTGGTTAAAGTTTTTTGTAAAGTCAAATATCTCAATTATTGCTTGAGATATTCAATTGAAACTTACAAAACTTATTTATAGTAACAAGGTACATCAGATTGACAAGTTGGATAACTCTGCCTACAATATTGACAGAATTATGCCCCTTTTTAACTTAAAAATTTTGGTTTAAGTTTTTTGTAAAGTCAAATATCTCAATTATTGCTTGAGATATTCAATTGAATCTTACAATACTTATTTATTGTAACAAGGTACATCAGATTGACAAGTTGGATAACTCTGCCTACAATATTGACAGAATTATGCCCCTTTGGAACTTAGAAATTTTGGTTAAAGGTCTTCAAAGATATTTACTTGAAACTTTACACATGCACGTAGGGTCATAATTGGAGCCGGTCATAATTGTATGTCACTGACCAAGTTCCATAACTCTATCTTGCATTAAGGCTGATTCATATCCCCTTTTCTACTTAGTCTCTTGGTTAATGTTTACATGCAAGTTTTACATATCTCAATAACTATTAAAGATATTTATTTAAAACTTCACATATGCATTTAGAGTCATAATTGTAGTTCACTGACAAAGATCCATAATTCTATCTTGCATTTAGGCTGATTTTTCTCCCCTTTTTTAACTTAGAAATTCATGGTAAAGTTTTGCTTGTAAGCTGTTATCTCAATAACTACTGAAGGGTTTGTGCCTTTTTTGGGACAATTTAAGCATTAATAATAATAAAGCTGTGATTTACTTAATAAAACATCTTAATAACAAGCCTTTGTACCTTTTCTGTCAAATTTATGTATTCATAGGTAATTAGTATTATTATACTCAATAAAACACCCTTGTGACATTACCTTCCGAATAGTCAAGCCAATACTGTATAATTAGACTCTCTCTTTAAGGCCTATAACTTGAATTTATAAAAAAAAATTAGCCCTTTTGTGAACTTAAAAAATTTAACATTATCAAGGCTCTTTTACTATCAAGCACTTAGAATAGTCGAGCGTGCTGTCCTTCCGACAGCTCTTGTCATAATTATACTTTGTTTCTTAGTCTGACTAAATCATATTTGGTATTTAATTTTCAATTTCACCTTATTCTGATGTAGGTGAAACCAGAAACTTTCTCCAAGATTTTATGTACTGGATGTTTGGCAGTGTGTTTGCAATCAAAAGTTGTTTATATTAATTGACAACCTCACTCAACCTTAGCCACTATTTTTGTTACTGTGCGCTTATGAAACTTGCCTGTACCATACCTCTCCAATATAACTTAAGTGCAACAATATGTTTTTGAACCAAACTAAAAGAACATTATGGTCAGGTATATATTAAGGTAGGTTAAGGTGACGTGTTACGTATTCATATACGAACTTGTGATAGGAATTATGGCACACACATAAACACATGTACCAATAAAACTATAGTTTAATTAACACTGGTTCCCATATAAATATAGTACGTTTTAAATGAAATATATCCTCGCCCATATGGTTCATGTTGTTGGGATGGTAAACAAACCAAACACACACACCCTAACAAAACATCTTTTGGCCATATATACTGTAGTAGACTCATTATTTGATTATGTCAGACCTGTTTTCCTAATGTAAAATGGACTTGTTTGTGCATTTAAATACCCAAGTTTGATTCCAAAAAGGGGGAACCATCCGGTTTGATGATTAGATAGACTGTTTGACTGTCAGTCTGTGAGTGTGAACCAGGCAACCCAGGTTGCTTTCATTGTAATTCATCTTTCAAATTGTTACATATATATCATGATAGCAGTTCAATAATTAAAGGTGTCATATTGGCTTCATTTCAAAGCACGTGTATAAGATGAGATTGTTTAGTTAAGTACTATAAAAAGTCAATAAAAACACTTGAAAATCCTGTCTAATATGCAAACACTATATATCTCTATCATTCTGCTTTACTGATAAGGTACATAACCAAAAGTTTAACAAGAAACATGTTATTTTTTGTTACGGTATTTCATCAGTATTATGATTTAAGTTTACAGATAAATGTTCCCATATCAGTAAATTGTACATTAAAAGAAAACTTCAAGACCCCGAGTTTCTATAAAAGTTTAAAATGTTAAAATTTGTTAATATGTGGTGAATTATTGTACTGAAATATGTGATGAAGTATTAATTTAAATTTTAGGAAGGAAATTTGAACGGACAAGAAATGCAGTATAGACTCACTTTGTAAGAAATTATCATCTCATAGAAGTGATGTTTAAAGAATTAAGATGCTCAGTCGATGTAAAATGACAAGCAGATGTGCTGTTTGTGATAAAACATTTTGTCAAAAAAAGTTCTCTGAACAAACATATAAATAAAAATACATACCAGCGAAAAGAATCATTGTTATATATGTGTGATAAAGCATTTCTCAACAAGTTATTTGATCATGCATATGACAATGCACACTGGCCACAAGAAACATAGATGTGACATGTGTGATAAAACATATTCGCACCGTAGCTGTTTGAATGCACACATAAGGATACACATCGGTGAGAAGACTCATCAATGTGAAGTATGTGATAAAACATTTTCTAAAGGAAGTGAACTTATCAGACATATGACAATACACACTGGCAAGAAGAATCATAAATGTGTAGTGTGTTATAAATCGTTTTTCGAAGGAAAGGATCTTACTAAGCATATGACAATACACACTGGTGAGAAGAAACATAAATGTGAAGTTTGTGATGAAGCATTTTCTGTAAGAGGTAATCTTACCACGCATATGACAATACACACTGGTGAGAAGAATCATAGATGTGAAGTATGTGATAAAACATTTTCTTACCGAAAATCACTGATGACACACATGACAGTTCACACTGGCGAGAAGAAACATCAATGTGACATGTGTGATGTAAAAGGTAATCTTACTGCGCATATGAAAATACACACTGGTGAGAAGAATCATAAATGTGAAGTGTGTTTTAAGGCATTTTCTAAACGATGTACTCTTATCAGACATATGACAATACACACTGGCAAGAAGAATCATAGATGTGACATATGTGATAAAGCATTTTCTCAACGAAATACTTTGATCAGGCATATGAAAATACACCATGGCGAAAAAAATCACAGATGTGAAATGTGTGATGAAGCATTTTCTCTACGAAGTTATTTGAACAAGCATATGAAAATACACACTGGCAAGAAGAATCATAAATGTAAACTGTGTGATAAAGCATTTTCTCAACGAAGTAATTTGATCAATCATATGACAATACATACTGGCGAGAAGAATCATATATGTGAAATATGTGATAAAACATTTTCTTACCGAAAATCACTGATGACACACATGACAGTTCACACTGGCGAGAAGAAACATCAATGTGAAGTGTGTGATAAAGCATTTTCTGTAAAATTTAATCTTACTGCGCATATGAAAATACACACTGGTGAGAAGAATCATAAATGTGAAGTGTGTTTGAAGGCATTTTCTAAGCGATGTACTCTTATCAGACATATGACAATACACACTGGCGAGAAGAATCATAAATGTGAAGTATGTGATAAAACATTTTCTTTACGAAACTCACTGATGACACACATGACAATTCACACTGGCGAGAAGAAACATCAATGTGAAGTGTGCGGTAAAGTGTTTTCTGCACAAAGTACTCTTATCAAACATATTACAATACACACTGGCGAGAAGAAATGTAAAGTGTGTGATGAATCGTTTTTTGAAGGAAAGGATCTTACCAGGCATATGACAATACACACTGGTGAAAAGAAACATAAATGTGAAGTGTGTGATAAAGCATTTTCTGCAAGAGGTAATCTTAAGGTGCATATGAAAATACACACTGGTGAGAAAAATCATAAATGTGAAGTGTGTTATAAAGCATTTTCTAAACGATGTACTCTTATCAGACATATGACAATACACACTGGTGAGAAGAATCATAGATGTGAAGTATGTGATAAAACATTTTCTATACGAAACTCACTGATGACACACATGACAATACACACTGACCAGAAGAAACATCAATGTGAAATGTGCGGTAAAGTGTTTTCTGCACGAAGTACTCTTATCACACATATTACAATACACACCGGTGAGAAGAAACATAAATGTAAAGTCTGTGATAAAGCATTTTCCCAAAGTAGTAATTTGATCAAGCATATGAAAATACACACTTGATATTAAAAACCACACTTGTGAGCAGAATCATAAATGTGAAGTGTGAAATATTTAGCAATTTTGTCAACCAAGTTCACTGAAGGCACATGTGTTCATACACACTGGTGAAAAGAAATAAATAATGAAGTCTGTGTTGATTTATTATCCCCGGCCGATGGAATAGGGAGTGGGATATAGTTTTGGCGTTGTCCGTCCGTCTTTCCGTCCGTCTTTCTGTCCGTCCGTCCATCCGTCCGTCCGAATTTCGTTTCCGGAGTAGTTCTCTGCAACTAATGGCTGGAATCAACGAAACTTTATGGGAATGTTGATCAGCATGTGAAGTTGTGCACCTGGGTATTTTCGTCTGGATATTTTTTAGTATTTTTAGAGTTACTGCCCTTGACTCAGTAAAATTTTGTCCGAATTTCGTTTCCGGAGTAGTTCTCTGCAACTAATGGTTGGAATTCAACGAAACTTTATGGGAATGTTGATAAGCATGTGAAGTTGTGCACCTGGGTATTTTCGTCTGGATATTTTTAGTATTTTAAGAGTTATTGCCCTTGACTTAGTAAAATTTTGTAATTTTCAACTTGTGTCGCATGTAACTCAAAAAGTGTTTGACCTAGAGTCATGAAACTTTACAGGAATGTTGATCAGTATGTGTAGTTGTGCACCTGGGTATTTTCGTCTGGATATTTTTAGCATTTTTAGAGTTATTGCCCTTGACTTAGTAAAATTTTGTAATTTTCAACTTGTGTCGCATGTAACTCGAAAAGTATTTGACCTAGAGTCATGATACTTTACAGGAATGTTGATCAGCATGTGTAGTTGTGCACCTGGGTATTTTCGTCTGGATTTATTTTGTATTTTTAGAGTTATTGCCCTTGACTTAGAAAATGTTTGCAATTTTCAACATGTGTCGCATGTAACTCAAAAAGGATTTGACATAGGGTCATTAAACCTTATTGGAAAGTTGCTCAGCATATTTAGTTTGTTCCTGGGGTTCGCTTGTGGATTTATCCAGTATTTGTAGAGTTATTTCCCTTGACTTAGTAAAAACTGTTTCATTATGTTGTTATTTGATCCTTGAGTGCTTGAGTTAGAATCGACCAACTTTAGAGGAATAATGATCAACATCACTAAATTACAGGAATAATGATTCACCTCACTGTGATGCTATGAACCTGGGACTTTGCATGTGGATTTTTTTCAGTTTTGTTAGAGTTATTGCCCTTGAATTACAGTAGTATAAATTTGCAATTTTCAACTTGGGGTTTGCTTGGGGATTTATTCAGTATTTGTAAAGTTCTTGCCCTTTACTTAGTAAAAAGATTTTTAGTTTTCAAAAAATATTTGACCTAGAGTCATAAGATTGACAGAACAGTGGCGCGGTGGGGGCACCCGTGTCCTATGGACAGATTTCTAGTTTTTATTAAAGAAGAATTAAAATGATTTGTTACAATAACAATTTAAAAATATTTGAAAATTGTGAGATCCCTTCTTGATGCCTTGAAAATGGCAATGAAGTCTGGAGATTAAGATGTTTTTTACATCTATGTGAGCTATTGTGATCCCCCACCGTCCGTCGTCGTGCGTCGTCAGCAATTTCTTTAAACAACATCTCCTCAGAAACAAATGACTGCACAGCAACCAAACTTTACAGGAATGATCCTAGGGTGGTCCCCTGCCAAAGTTGATCAAATGGTTCCGGTCTGTTGCATAAGTAGGTCACCGGGCCAGAAAAGGAGTTTAAAAAATGCAAAATTAAAAAATCTTGTCTGAAAGTACAAGGCCTAGAGCTTTGATATTTGGTATATGATATAACCTATAGGTCCTCTACCAAAATTGTTCAAATTTTAGCGCTTGGGTCAAAATTGGCCCCACTCCAGGGGGTCATAGATTTTCCTTATATGTATATAGTGAAAACTTAAAAATTCTTCTTGGCTTCAAGTTCAAAGAATATTACAGTTTATGCCATGATTAATATATAAATAAAGCCTTATGTCTTCAGTTGTTGTGTAAATAATAACCAGTACTCGGCGGGGGATATAAATTCAACGAATTTGCTTGTTTCCTCATAATGTCTTATATATTGCAAAACATGTTGGCGAGAAGAAACACAAATGTTGAATAATTATAAAGCATTTTCTACATGACATATGTACATGTAGTGTAATCACACATCATAATGGCAAAATATGCTTGTAAGAGAAATCACAAGTAAAATGGTTTCCTGCGGGGAACATTTTTAATGATATAAAGATATTTAACTATTTTCAACATTGTTGAGGTGGGGGGGGGGGAGAATAAATAAATAAACGTTTGTATCAGGAATATAGTTGACAATAATCGATCAATACAGAAGAAGGTCTTCGGAAACTGGTGACCGAATGCCGAACATAAAATGGAGTATCTGCCAAAATATTACAATATTTCAGTAATTTATCAAGTGAAATGTTGAAAATTAGCTGTACAAAAACATACTTGCCAAATATATATATATCGATCTAGCTAATTGCACATGTGGAAATGTACAATTAAAAAATGAATTGTAGTAACGTTAATATTATTATATGCTATTTCATGTATATAAATTATGTAAAGAACCTTTTTATGATGATTTTCTTTTTCTTTCTTTGCAAAATTCTCTACACAAACTGAGATTAAGACTACGTGTATGCACTAAAAATTAACATATGTAATGTATGTCCTATATTATAGTTTGTATTTATGAATTTGTTAACAGCTATTATATCTGTAACTTCTGGAATGTATTGTTAAAATGTTGATATGATCATTTATGTCATACTTTTCTCTTGTATGGTAATCTTTACCACCATAAATTGTAACAAAATTTTGGTCATGAACATTGATGTTTGTGCTTAATAGAAACCTTGTTCTAAAAATTGGTCAGAGGAATTATTTTTATGATTTCTTACCACAAATATGGGTCACCTTGGGTCAAAAACTAGGTCACACAGACTGAATATTGAAAAAACATTGTTAACACTCCTGGTACTGTTTGATCGAAATATCCTGAAAGTTGGTAAGAAAAACTATTTTTGTCTTTTCTTCAATGTAGGTCAAGTTTGAATATTGGTCATCCGGTGTCAAAAACTACTACATGTACAGGTAACACAGCCCAAATATGAAAAAAACATTGAAAACACACTTAGGATTATTGTTTCAGTCAAGATTTCCTGAAAATTGGTAAAAAAAATGAGTTTTAAGGTAAGGTTTGAATATAGATCCTCTCCAGTCAAAAACTATGTCACAAAGCCCAAGTACACGAGGAAGTCTTATCTTTGTACGAAGTAAGCCTATCGATCTCTCATATGATAATACACACTGGCAAGAAGGAACATTTGTGAGAAGTCTGTGACAAAGCATTTTTTAGACGAGATAGTCTTATCAGACATACGACAATACACACTGGCGAGAAAAAGAAACGTAAATGTGAAGTTTATGCTTATCAGACATATGACAATACACACTGGCGAGAAAAGAACATGAGTTTGAAGTTTGTGGTAAAGTGTTTTCTCAACGAAGTAATCTTATAACACATGACAATACACACTGATGATAAGAATCCTAGATGTGAAGTGTGTGATATTTAACGTTTTTGCGCCAAAGTTCACTGAAGTCACATGATATGAGGATACACACTGGGGAGAATAATTAGCTAAAATGATGTTGTAACACATTATGCTGTTGGGGAAAATACATAGATACCTAATGCGAACGTCAACAGCGGATAGACCGTGAAGAACCAATAAACAGATGGGATTAATTACTATAGAAACTTACTCAAGTTTTGAACTTATGACGGAACTTTAAATTAAACTGGAAAAGCATTTACAAGCCAGCTGTTTGACATATAAATTTAAGTTAATTGTCCGAATATCTTAATACATTGTATATGTGAATAGTGATAGGGTCTATGGACTTAAAATATGTAACTGAGGAACTTCAAAGGTTTGTATAATGTGACCATCAAATACTTTTAAAAATCGCTGTCGGATCCAATGTTATCTATATGCCCTCTGTTTTAAGACTGTTTATTTTACATGAATCTATTTAGTTAAAAATATCTCTAGTCCATGTAGCCTCACGTTTTAATTTTCATATATTTTTGTCAACTCGAAATTAATATGTATTCAAAGGCAGAAGAAAGAAAAGAAAACTTTTTATTTTTAAGTACTTCTAATTGTAATTACATATATCAACGTAACACATTGAACACTTATAAATGTAATGTAAACATTACTAATTCCTTTAGAAACAATAGAAATGCAAAAAAAAAATATTTCCCTGCACTAGTTTGCCAGTCAATGGAAGAATAAAAAATTAAGTAGCACATTTATCAAGAGTACAACAAATGACAACATGTACGTGTTGTTTGGAAGTCAAAAATATTTGCAAAGAAAATTAAAAAAAAAAAAATCAAATGTAAAATGTAATTACAGAAAAAACTTACTTAATTTTTTTCTTAATCAAAATTGAATTAAACTTATACAAGATTCTCAAAAATTATTTTATAGTGAATTTCGTATATATTTTACGTGTGATCTCGTAAAAATAAATGCGAAGATTAGTTAACATCTATCAATCGGTAAAGTATATTATAAATTTCCAAAAAAAAAAGAAAAAAAATCTAAAGATTTTCCGAAATAAAAGAATTTGCAATCTATGTAAAGGTTTACAATGAATGATACGACATGTTCAATTATATCTGATATCTATACAAATGACATTCCCAAAAGAAGTGTTCATTCTCAGTTTTGCACACAAAAAAAACCAAAAAACATTTTCATCAGTAACAATTAATAATCATTTCTTTCATGGAATTTAAATTTTGTAGCTTAAATTCTATGCAAAAGCCTAGTTTTAAACCATTTCAAGTAATTATATACGTGTCATTTGCTTTTTTAAGAATCCAGCTGTGTAATTGTTTCCACTCCAAGAAAAAGGGGGAGATCGATGAGGAATAGATTTGTCACTGATGAGTTCTGTTCTGGCATTCAATCTCTGGCACAGAATTTCACGACAAACCTAACAACAAGTAGTTCTCAAAACAGCATGTAAAAGAAAGAAATATTTTTATTTTGTTACAAGTATCCAACAAGTTACAACGCATTAAAAGTAGGTTGGATTATAAGCTCGTTCTCAATAAAACACAGCATTTGATGGTCCACTTGGTAGCTTCTATACGAAGTTTTTTCTTGAGGTAAAAATGTCGTTTGAAAGGTGGCTGCCACTTTGTCTAAATGGGACTCTCTCAGTTTTACATTTCTATCTGTTATTTTTCTTTTACAAGTACCATTAATGCCCTAAAATGTAACATTCGTTACTGTCGCCACCTAGAATTTTCAACTTTGAAATTGTGTTTCAGAAAAATAAGTTGCAGAATAGACAAAACATGTGCAATTAGTCATTGTTGCGTGTACATATGAACTTCATTATTGGTAAAAATTAGGATTAGCATGCCTGTTAGTAACGGTTACCTTGTATTAGATGTAAGAAGATACAAAAGTGTCTTTCAAAAGGAAAGATATGTTAATAATATGTTGATGTACCAGCAGAAAGTTGAATGTTTTGAAGAAAAAAATGCTAAATACAACATTTGTGTATGCATTCGACCTCTCATATCTATCCTTTGAATGAAGACATAAAATATTCATTTTCAAAATTGACTCTTTGCTTTCTACGAATATTTAGCTTTGAAGAAATTAACTGAAAATTAGCAAGTGTCACGGTTCAGAACTGTTCACTACTTAGGGGAGAAGATGTGTTAGCGGCCGGATAGCTCAGTCGGTAGGCTGCACATTTTTCTAACCCTGTGACATTTGGCGCCCAACGGGGGACCGCAGAGTTTAATTTACAGTGCTCTGTAACTCTGTGAAATTCGAGGACGAATTTCAATATAGCAGTGGAGTATGTTACGGTCCAGAACTGTTCACTATTTAGGGGAGAAGATGTGTAAGCGGCCGGATATCTCAGTCGGTAGAGCCGCGGTACGGTATTCCGAGGGTCCCGGGTTCGAGTCCCGGTCAGGCTGCACATTTTTCTAACCTTGTGACACAATTAAGTTACCCAACTTCCTTGGATTTTCCTGGGTTAAAAGTCCCTCTAGATAGGGAATTTACAGGTTTTGATATATTTTACAATCATTTGTTATCTATATACAGCCAATATGTTACATTATTAGATCCGAAATCTACTTTACCGAGGAAAAACAGTATCATTACCGAAATAAATGTCATCCTATTATATTGTAGTTTCTTGTTGGTAAACTTGCAAAGTCCCTAAACTTTTACTTCAGCGATAAAAAATGACACAATTAATAACAACATCAAAATTTAAATATTTTTCAACATCAAATGCTTTATTTTATTGAGAATGGCCGTATAGAATTGTCAATAAATGCACAATCACAAATTACGCGGATGAATATATCATTTTAATCAATCAAAATGCTATTTTTAGCGAATACTTCAGAGCGTAGTACACAAATAAATCAGACTGTCGAGCAGTCGTACTGTTTTGGCGAGAAGATTTTCGCTAAATTATTTAACAGGTTTATCGTGAACAAAATACCTCGAAATTTATAAGAATTTCAAACCCGAAATGGAAATTCTAAATATAGAATTATTTTATTCAGCATATTTCGTTTGATTTTCTCGTGGGGCAGGGGTAATGCGCTCGTTAATTTAGGGTATGAAAGGTCTGGGGTTCAAATCACAGTCGAGGCAACTACTTTTTTGTAAGTGTCTTTTTAAGGAAGAAGCCACGTTATGCAAGGATAAAGTGTGGCTGTCATAATAAAATGAACATAAATGATTTTTATGCAACTCTAGTCATACAAAAATCCGTTTGTATTGATCAAAATCAAACTGTTATAGTAAAAAATCTAAACGCAGTCGCTTCAACTCGGTGCCCTAGCTGTAAGATGAATTATATAGTATATGAAAATAAACTTATACAGGAAAATACATACAGATATACAGTACGATTTAGATTTCAAAAATCAGAAAATACCACAGAGATTGCGGCCCTTTGATTTAAAATGTATTTAATGCTTCTAAGGATCCATTATAAACTTATGATTTTCAAACAATGACATACTACAAAACTAAGTGTAGGACAAAAGCCTTCCCGTCCAAAAGTGACAAGGCGGACAAAAGCTCGGATGCGCATCAATTAATATCACTCGGGCTACGCCCTCGTAATATGATTCCTCGCATCCGAACTCCAAACCGTGATGTTATTGCGATAAAAATCACTGTTTGGCAAATATTATTTCTTAATTATAATGATCATAATTATTACACTGTACATGCTTTTATTGATTTTTCATCAATATACCATTTTGCTATTACAATAAACATTAATTTACATAAAAATGTAACTTATAAGTCTTTGCAAAAAGATTGAACTTAAATATAGCTCTATAATCTTGGGTGATGAACGATCTTTTGAAATATTTTATACGGGCGTTATAGATTATCAATTTCTTTCGGCAGTTTCTATTTTTGCGACGGACGCGCCCTCAGGCGCGTTCAGAGCTAAGTCATCTACACATGGGATTTCGTTGGCTACACTCGCGCAATGTGT